GTCTCTGTGAACAGATTGCTGCTCTTACAAATAAGATGACTAAAACAAAACAAAACTCAGGATTGTGTCATTTATAAAAATGATACAATGGTTTTAAAATGAATTAATTGCCTCAAATGTGTGTTCAGGGATGGGTTTGGGCAGAACTAATTCAGTTGGGATGTCATGGCAGCACCATCCTAGATTGTGGAGCAATATCACAGTCGATCCCCCATGCCTGTCAGTGATCTCATATATATGCTCTGAAAATGAGCACCAACGGGTGTTCTCATCCCAGCATGACAGCAAATCATTGAAATGAGAACAAGACGGAGCAACGGGTGCAGTCTGAGCTAGCTCTAAGGAGAAATATAGGTGAACAGCTCAAAGCTTTGGCAATGCTTGACTTTCAGGCAGCCCCTCCCTGTAGCAGCATCCTGGTTTGGAGCTCACATCAAGACTTTTGATATGATGCATGAGAAAATCTAGATGCGTCAGAATGGGGAGAGAGCAACTCACACGTGAGACCTGGAGCTTGCTCAAGTGAGCACTCTGAGCAAGGAGTGGCTCGGTCTTGGTCACAGAAAATCCCGAAGGCTGAAGCATATCTGATCACAGCTCCTTCAAATCTCTAGATGCTCCTCATGATTCTCGGAGGAGGCTTTCCTCCACTGAGGGCCCTTTATCTGGGAAGTTTTTCTGGACTTGTTAGCCATAACCCTTCCTTTGCGTTGGGGGGAGTGGGAACTTCCATAGAGGAGGAAACTGCATAGATTTCCCATAATGCCAAATACCAAGATCAGTTTCTTCCTGTAGCTGCAGGGTACCAGATACCAATTCCTATTTCCCTCAACTCTGACCTCACAAGGCCCAAACAAGGCTCCCTAGGAGTGCTGCCCTATCCATAGTGGTTAGCTCGTTCTCCGTAAAGCTGAGAGAGGCAGTTTTGAACTATCTGAGGATAAGAAAGGAACTGAGTCCAGGTCTCACTCCTGAACAGTTTCTCCAGGCAGTGAGAGGCAGAAGTTTTCAGCTGTTTTGTTAGATGCCGTGCGCAGTCCTGGAGCTCCTCTGAGAGCAGGGCCAGAGCCCAGCAAGCACAACCCTTCAGGGAGTAGGTGCAGAGTTACTGGTATTTTGGCCACCATTCTAACTTACTGGGCAGTGCCTGCCAAAGAAACAAAACACCTAGGGAATCTGGGCCTTCCATAGCTAGGCAGAAGGCACCTAAATCTTTCTCTAGCACTTCTTAAGACTCCTCAAATCCTTCCTGGGCTTCGCCAAGGTTATTAACAATACAGCAAAACTAGCATGTGGATTTGGATCTTCTATTCTCATAGTTTACCTTCTCAAGTAGGCAAGTGATGCAGTATAAAGAGAATGATGGATTTTCCCTTTGGGAAGTACAGTTCCTCCATTTGCAAAAGAAGCAAGGAGGTAAAACGGAGGTGATAGGCATGACCCACTATTATTGGATTAATATTAATAGAGAATCATCTTTCTTTTTTTTCCTCATAAAATTTGAAATTTACTTGCTTTATGAAGGACTGGAAAAATATCTATTTCTATACTAAGTAATTATGCATTAGCCAAGTGGCTAGTTCTCTCTACAAGGATAAAAGCCAGGCTGATATTTTTATAAATTACTTGCTACATTAGTAATTGGGAAGACAGAGGTCTCACAGTGATGGCAAAACATTAGCCTGATTTTTTGTGGTGGTATTTTTTTTCAGCAACTCCCCTATCTCTCTTCCCTTATTTGCATTTGTTGGCTGTCTGCAAGACTGCTTTGTCCCTAAAAAAACCTTTAGGAGAGTCACTCGGAACAGTGAGACTTGCATTGGGTTCCTTTGAAAATTACGTAAAAAGGGTAATTATTGACAGTGCTCTAGGAATTTACTCTCCTTTTATAGACCATTAAGTTATCAAAGACTGGAACCTGGAGTGGAGTCCAGCATAAATGTATGTGATTTCAACAAGGCAGACTGCAGAAAGCTTGTTTTTTATTTGGAAGGAGAGAAGGAAACAATCCTTCTCCTTAGCATTATTTTAAATTGAATCCTCAAACATTTTGGTTTTGAAGTAAGTAAGTATAAATGCAATGTATAATTCTCTTGTTTTGGAACATAAAGAAGCATTTCAAACTAAAAAAAAAAAAAAAAAACTTTTTTTTCAGATTAAAAATGCTGATTTTTCCTCCTGTGCCAGTTCCAAAGATTAAAGGGATTGACCCCGATCTCCTAAAGGTAATGTTATGATCTAAAATCTTCAGAGTGGGAATCGTTGCAGTAGTACGAGGTGAGAATTGTTCTCCAGGCAGAACAGTTTTATACAAAGAAATCATGAAGGGAGTTGCCATAAAATTGGTTTTCATAAAGTACAGAAGAACTCACCTTGCAGCTATTACATCAGCTACATTTATCTTTCCTTAAGTTAACATCTCAA